TAGTGTTTGAGCCTTTTATATTATATTCTTGCTTGGTACTGTACATTGAGCTCTACCTGGATTTTATCCTCTTGGAAACATATATATATATATATATTGATGACTAATATTATATATATAAAAACATATGAAAAAAATGTTTTAAAATTTACCAAAAATTTAAATTTTAAAACATTTTTCCACCCTGGGAAGTGTGATCTGATGAACCAGGTAAAAACCATATATCTGGGGAAATAAATTATAATCAATGGACCCTTAAGGTTGTTTATTTTCTAATTAAATTGAATTAATGTATATATATATATATATATATATATGTGTGTGTGTGTGTGTGTGTGTGTGTGTGTGTAAATTTGTGTAAAATAAAATAAAATTGCTACACAATGGATATCTGTTTCAATTTATTCAAGATTAAATATAGAAATAATAAATATACAAATAATATAGCTTGGATTACAGTAAACAATCATATACCAAAATACAGATTTGGGGAAGAGAGTCAGAATTTGTCAGTATCCTTCAGAAATCATAGGTTGAGTCTTAAATAATTTTTGTTCTTGTTTAGCAGCTTTATTCATCAAAAAATAAAGTACAATTACATTTCATGTATTAATATATTCCCTATTGTTTGGTAATGACTTATTGCCACCTACCAGGCAGCTCTTCAATACTTTTTGAGTAAAATTCCGCAGGTTTTGATATGAAAAAGTTTTCAGCAAACTCTGGTTTTCATTAGAGAAAGTTATCCTCCTCACCAAAGTGTTTTGCAGCAATTGAAAAAAATAATAATCAGTTGGTGAAAGGTCAGGGGAATATGGCGGACGGTATAGAACAGACCAACCAAGTTTGAAAATTTTTTCTAGGGTTATTCTTGCTGTATGCAGTTTTTATAGAGGGGAATAACATTTTTTTCCTATTGATAAGCATAGGGTGCTTTTCGACCAAACTTTTATGGACATGTTGCAGGTTTGGTTTGGTTTGTTTTGTTTTAAGGCATATCAACTTCAATGGGTTATTTAATACTGACAAGATTTTTTTTCCAAAATTGTATTGCTAGTAATAATTTTTTTCTAAAAATATATTGTGACCCCTTTTTGGTGGGTAGCTATTTGTCCATAGCTGGAAGCCTGACAGGTGTTACCACCCCAGGTCAGGGTGGACCTGGGAACACCAGCAATTAAGAGATGGGTCAACACTCCTCAAAACCTTCTGATCAAAGGCCTTACTGTCACATGTAGTTTTTCGTCATACCCAGGACTGGGATATGTTGCAGCTGCTGGATATATAAATGTGCATTTAGTATTTCATTGCATTTTTAACAACTCTAAATGAATAATACCCTGATGCTCCCACCACATGCACTTCCATGGAGCTCAGGTTTTTGGAGTCGGTTGTAGAGATTTACCCTTGTCAATTCACTGCTTTTTGCATCATATATTATTGTATATTACTATACTTCAAATTTATTCTTAACTGTGATGTATGATTAATTGTTAGGATGCTACATTAATCATTATAACAGGTTCCCTGAAATGGAAATTACTTATGACTCAACTTAATCTAAATAAGTAAATGGCAAATTCTGTCTGTCTGTCCATGTCTTTGAAACCCCTCTAACTCAGGCCAGACTTGATCTACATAGATATATTATACCTTTTTGGAATCAGGATGGTCCCAGGATTGAAAATATGCCCTTCATCTGGTGCTTGAACACCCAGCATTGAGATTTGTGTCTGGATGTGGAGGGCACAGTTAAAAATTCAAGTTTTAAAATAACTGAAAATTAGTGGTTTAAAAGTTTATATTGAGTTTAAAGTAACACAAAAACTGTGAATTTGAAATATTCTTGTTTTAAATTCAGTTTAATATATTTATTAAATTCAGTTTAAAATATTATTTAATTTTATTTCTTCAAAATGTCAAGGAATCAGAGTTAAAGTGAGAGGTTTCTTAATGTGAGGTTTTGAAGTTCCTCCACTGAGTTTGTGATTTGAAGAATTCAGTTTTTGGCCTGAATTAGAATTTTGGCCCAAATCAGACTTTTGGCTGGAATTGGGCTTATACTCTGAATCAGAGTTAAAGTGAGTTTTTGAAGTTATGTGGAGTACATTGAGGAATACCAAGTTATTTCTTCAAAATTATCATTACTGTTTTCTAAGCTGGACCAGAGGTCCCTTTAGTTTTAGGCCAGAGTGCATCTTTTAAGCTAGTACATACATAAAATAATTTATTTCACTATGTGAACAGGTTCCAAAATTAGGGGTGTATTAACAGTACTCAAAACCAAGTCTTTGGGCATTAATACATGATTGTACTCTTACAATATAATCATACAGATGGTGAATAACATCCTGCAATACATTATTCAACACCTCTTGCATCTGTTAGAGTTGTAGATGAGCTAATTGAATGGATCAGGCATCATCTCATCAATCCTGCTGACTAGGGAAGTTGTTGAACATCTTGCAGAACATGTTGAGTAGCATGGGCTTAATGTAGGTGGGTATTATCCTTCTGGAATATCATATTAGCTTCCTGTTGCAGGAATAGCAGCAGAATAGGTTTGGCAATCCTGCTGACCAGGGAAACTGTTGAACATCTTTAGAACATGTTGAGTAGCATGGGCTTCATGTAGGTGGGCATTATCCTTCTGGAATATCATATTAGCTTCCTGTTGCAGGAATAGCAGCAGAATAGGTTTGGCAATCCTGCTGACCAGGGAAACTGTTGAACATCTTTAGAACATGTTGAGTAGCATGGGCTTCATGTGGTGGGCATTATCCTGATACATGGGGATGTGGCTTAGTAGTTAGAATGTTAGCTTTCTAACTATGAAACCAAGGTTCAAACCTTACCATTTCTCATAATATTGTTCTGGGTAAGTAATCTCACCATGCAGCACCATTTGGAAGTGCCTGATTACCAAGTCTTGTGAGTGGAATTTGGTAGAGGAAACTGTTTAGAAGCTGTTGATAGTTGTGCTAGCACAAGGTCACACCAGATTATGCACTCTCTCTCAGAAACTGATCCCTTCAGAATAGGAATGTGTGGATAGTGTAATGGATAGCAGTTTAGAATAAGAAATCAAAGACAAGTTTGAATTCCATTGGGTTTCAACCCTACAGTAGATATACATGATGGCATTGTGATGTTTTGGAGGCATGGTGGAGTAGTGGATAGCAGCTTGAATTGCGGAATTGGAGAGCCGAGTTCGAATTCCAGTCGAATCCATTACATTCACTTACATGCTAATACTCTTGGGAAAGGCATGAATCCTCTTGTTTTCCCCACAGCTATGAGTAAATAGCAGGACAGATTGGGTTCTATAGCTTTGGGTGGCAACTGCTCTAAGAGAAGGTAACTCTGAATTCAAAACTGTATCTAACCCTGGCATAGCACATAATAAAGAAATGATTATTTGCATTGGCTTGATGATTCTGATTACAGTTGACCTGGATGGTGCAAGTGGAATCCCTGCTAGAGACATGCATGTCTGTAATCCTGCTGCAATGGTCAGTGTTGATATACCCATGGGGGCATATTTGCATTGATATTTATTGTAAATGCCATGGAGTCTGACTTTACAATGTGTCAAGCATATATATTATGTGGTCATCTAGATGGAGCCAAAATAATGTGGCCATCTAGATGGGGCTAAACTAGGCACAAAATAATGAGTGCATAAATGTTTCATTTAAAAATAAGTAACTTTACTGTTAAAAGCAAAATGGATGACATGCCAGAATGATTATAAATTTCTTCTCTGCTTCATTGTCAATATTTCCATGGTCAAAATGAAAAAAAAAAAAACAAAACAGATTGCTGGGGCATATGATACAAATCCAAGTCTTCTTAGAAACAATTTTATTTCCAACTAGCAGGAGATCCCGGCATTGCCTGGGGAAGTAACAGTAAGAGATAGATCAAGTATCAACCATCATAAAGACTGAAAAATAAAATTGACAAAGATTATTGTTTAAGGTTGACGGACACACATGTCTTAATTAGTTTTTTTTTGTTTTTTTGTTTTTTTTTATGAATTGGTCAAACCCAAACAAAAACATTGTTTTCAATCGTCATGAGTCTCTACCGATTGAATAGAATTTTATTATAAACAATTGTCTTGCAAATGGAATTTTTAAAGCATTCTGAATGTAAAAAATAAAGAAAAAAAGTGCAAGACAATAAGAAACACTACGTGCCAAAAAAATGAAGTTTTGTTGAAATCGGTTGAAAATGTAGGAAATCCGATCTCATATATAAACGAACACACACACACACACACACACACACACAAACAACCTGGGTTTTATAATAAGTATAACTCGATATGAGTTGTCCCCCTTTCATTCTGGCAACAGAATCGTGTTTTATCATGTTTTCAAATTGATTTCATGCAAAAACAATTGTGTTTTTCCAATTTTTGTTTTTTTCAGAACCACCGTAAGGTAATTTTACGCAGTTCTGTGAAGTTTTGTTGAAATCGGTTGAAAAATGTAGGAAATCTGATCCAATATATAAACGTACAGACACACACGAACACACACACACACAATCTGCGTTTTATAATAAGTAAGATTCTGTGCTGTTTCGTCTGACATTTGAAGAGTGTATTTACCCAAAGTGTTGTAATAAAAAGCAACAATAGAAGGTAAGATAACTAATAATTAAAATGAAAGAATTATATATTTTATTATATACTGGACAAAACTTGGACATACCTGTAAAATTGATTGATTGATTTGTTTTTAATGGCTTACCAACCCATTAGAGGTTATTTAAATCCAGAAAATATTTTTAGATTGTAAAGATCTTTTAGAGATAATAATGATTTACTGATACAACTTCTACTAATTAATTAATCCATAGCTGGAGGAGAAGAGGTAGTGTCATATTTTTCCCAAGGTTATTTGTGTGTAAGTGGATATAACAAACCCAACTGGAATTGAAACTCGGCTCGCCAATTTCCAGTTTCAAGTTATTCCACTAGCACATCCGAGCTTACAGTACCTAGTATTCCAAAGTAGTCACCCATCTAGGTACTGACCACACTCAGCATTGCTTAACTTTAGTGATCACATAAGAACTGGTGCTTCAACGTGATATATCCGCATGCTCTGTGAAATGAAAGAAGGAAAAGGAAAGAATGAAATAGAAAAGAGTTAAATATAAAATGTGTTACCTCTGGATTATTGTGGGGGAGGGGGTTCCAGTGCTCCAATCCCAGATCCAGGACCTACTCAATTCTATTGGGGGAACCCCTCACAGAATGACCAGACCATGTCTTCATAGGTGTAGCCGTACTCATCACATACTTTGCAAGTAGGTAAGGCTATTTAATGAATAGTTGGGGTAGATGGCTGTTAGAGTTAACGGTTCCTCTACCTTTTAACAGCCTTTGTTTTTTTTTGTGCTGCTGGAGTTCTACTTACCCTCCTCACTAGACCAGGGTCTGGTGGGGAACTCAGTATAGTCATTGACCACTCAGGTTTTGAATTTAGAGTGGTCCTTCTCTTAGACTGGTTGCCATCCAATGCTATAGGACCCAATCTGTCCTGCTATTTACCTATAGCTGAGGAGAGAAGAGCTGGATTCATACCTTTTCTAAGCATATTTGTACATAAGTGAATGTAATGAACGTGACTGAAATTTGAACTCTGCTCTCTGATTTTTCAGTCCGAGCTGCTATCCATTATTCCACCGTGCATCCATTTTCAGTACTAAAAATGTTAACTGAAGCCTGGTTTCTAGGATCTCTACTGCAAGCAGCATGATTCCATTGCATGTCCTGATGGCTGCCGTGTTAGCGTAGAGAATTGGGCAATTTCCTGATGATTTAATGTGCAACCTTGAGTCATATGTTTGTAGTTCATAACAAAAAGGCCTGATATTGCACTTATAATAACGGAGTGGCAGAAAAAAAATTAATTAAAAATAAAATAAAATGTCAGATAATTTTAAAACACATCTGAAAAACAAGACTGTAGGTAATCAATAAATAGAACACTAAAAATAAAAAATAATATGAAAGAAAAAAAAATAAAACACTTATACTATTTTCTAAAGAGTTATAAATAGAAAAATATAAGAAGAGTTTATGTACATGAAGTAGATGCTGGTATATAAGTCAACTATTTAAAGTAAAAGAAACAAAAAAAAGAAAAAAGAAAGTCCATTTAAATCTCCTAACTTGACAGTCTGATGGAAGTAGTGTTTTATTTTTCTGTTGTGAGAACTGGCAAATACAGACGTAAATTAGCAGCTCAAAAATTTTCAGAAGTGACTCATATACAGGCATACAGAGCCACCAGAGATGCTTTCAGTATTATGCCTTTATATATTTATTAGACCTGTAGTTGTCTTTCCAGTAAGTTTTTTATAGTCATGTGAAAAGTTCTTTTATTATGATACTAAATATGTCATTTACATATTTTCTTTTTTTTAGAAGCTTATTAATTTTAAAATGTTAGAATAATGTTTATTTTATATATAGGATCTTAATATATATATATATATATATATATATATATATATATATATATATATAAAAAAAAAGAAAGAACAGTAAGATATAAAATCCGGTGTTCTTATAGATATTTTATTTTTACAAAATAGTGCTCAATGTAAATATAGTAAATAAAATTAATATAGTAAAATAAAATTAATATGAAATGCCATAAGATGTAAGCTTTTGAATGACCCATGTCCTTTGTACTTACATGAGAAACATTATATCACTAGGTTTATATATATATAAAAAAAAAAAAAAAAAAAAAATGTAACCTCATATACATACTTAAACTTGAATTAATACATAAAGTTTACTAATTCTGAGAAATGACTTAGATAGTTTTGTAGTCTGGGCCATTAATATTACTTAAATAATATCTAAATTAAAAGTTTAAAATTGTAATTTACATATACTTTGATAGGAAAAAAATTTTTTACTTACTATGAGTAATTATCCTTCTGTTATAAAGTAATATAGTCTAAATTAAAACTAACAATGAAAATATTTTAAAATTTTAAAGTTATAATTTTAAAATTTTAAAATTGAAATTAAAATTGTAGTAAAATAAAATGAATTCTAACATGTTATTTATACATACATATGAAACTTTATTAATTAGGTTACATATATTTGAAATAAATAAATTAATTAATTAATAAATAAATAAAGTTTACTAAATCTGAGAAATGACTTAGCTAGTTTTGTAGTAAGTGCCATTAATATTACTTAAATAATATTTAAATTTAAAGAGAAGAAAAAAAAAAAAAAAAAAAAAAAAAAATAAATGAATAAATAAATAAATAAATAAACATATACTTTGATATGGAAAAATAATCTTACTTAATATGAGTAATTTTCCTTCTGTTATAAAGTAATATAGTCTATTAAAACTAAACAATGAAAATATTTTAAAATTTTAAAGTTGTAATTTTGAATTTGTAATTAAAATTGTAGTTAAATTGAATGAATTCTAACCTAAATTTCTTTTAAATAATACTACACGCATTAAAAAAAGAATCCAAAAATAACACCTATAGTAAAATAAAATTAATATGAAATACCATAACATGTAAGCTTTTGAATGACCCATGTCCTCAGTACTTACATGTGAAATATTATAATAATAGGTTTATATATAAAAGAAAAGTTTACTGAATCAGTGAAATTAAGTAACCATTTCTGCTGTCATAGTCATATACAAAAAAAAAAAAAAAAAAAATGTAACCTCATATACATACTTAAACTTAATGTTAAAATAATCCTACATAATATAATGGATTCTAATACATTTAACTGTTCTTAAAAAGAATATAGTAAAATAAAAATTAAAAGGAAAATATTTCAAATCGTAGTTAAATAAAAGTATTGTAAAAAAAAAAAATTTTAATTTTAAAAGATGACGTTGAAAATTTTTACCGTTAACAATTTTTTTTTTTTTTTTTTTTTTTTTCAGACGACATCCATTCAACCGACGTCAGGTTTCAGTGTAAAATACATCCTCACCCCTTACCAAAATGTAGCTAATAACTGATACAATGATACTGTCATAAGGAAAATCTAGACACCCCGTGTTCAATTTGAGTAGAATATTCTGTAACCATGGAAACGTGATTTTAGCTGTGTATTTAAAACCCGGTAAATTTTAAAAGTTACTCCAAAATTCGCTTGAAGATGAAATAGAACTAATGCTTTTAATTTATTTGCAAAAATAAAATTAGGGTTTTTAGCTTCTATTTTTGAAACATGGTTGGAACTGTGTAGCGAAAAATAACCATATTTTAAAATCAATTAATTTATAATATATATATATATATATATATATATATATATATATATATATATATATATGAATATATGCAAATGGATAAATATAGATATAAATGTATGTGTAAGTGTTCAAATACAAATACATATATATATATATATATATATATATATATATATTAAATAGAAACAGACCACTTTAATAAATTATAATAAATTATTTCACCACAGCCCTTTTAAAGGACTGCGGATCATCAGATTTTACTTCCAAAGGTTGAAACAAAAAATGAAAAGAAATTTACACATTTTTGACAGGCCGTATTAAACATATGCAAATTAATGAAGTGAGGAAGTGAGAGGGGAGAGAGAAGATATGAGTGAGTTAGATGTAATTTAAAATTTCTATACTTTCATACTCAAAATTATTTGAGGAGGTCCAGACATAGACACATTTAAACGGTTAAATTATTTGCTCTGGATTTACATTGAGCTCGCTGGATTTTATCCTCCTTGGGTTATCCCCAAGGGTCACACTGTTCAATATATATAAAAATGGACACTGAAAGTCAACACCCAGAGGTGACAGTTTGTTTTCATATATGACATAACAATTGCATTTACATGTGTATCAGACTGTCACCATTAGGTTTTGATTTCAATGTCCACTTTTATATTTACATATGCTCTATCCCTGATATTAAGCACTTTAACACATAAATATAGCATATGTTAAAACTCTATTTTGTCATATATATATATATATATATATATATATATATATATATATTATAAATTTGGGTAATTGATCCCAACAGAGTTATACATTACTCACAATTAGAAAAAACGTTCATGTATGTATAATGTTTCGAAAAAATATTTGATAATGCATTTTGCCCATTTTGGGCTTCATTAGGTCAAAGATGAAAAGCTGAATTGTGTGTGTCTGCATTTGTGTGCTTATTTAATGAACACAAAAATAGGTGAAATGCATTATCAGATATTTTTTCAAAATATTACACTTTCATATATATATATATATATATATATATATATATATATATGTGTGTGTGTGTGTGTGTGTGTGTGTGTGTAAGTATATATAGATATCTATCTATCTATATATATATATATATATATATATATTTTATATGCATGGTACTTAGTGGAAAGCTCAATATCAGTGATACAACATTTCAAAGCTAAATCTAAGAAATGGACAATTTTGTTTTTACACCCAGTATATTATATATATATATATTGTGTGTATTTAGGGCAGCATTTTTCATTCATACATGTTTCATTAAATAATATAGACAAGTGTTGTCTATTTATTTTATGAAAATTTCAAAAAATAAAACTTAAATCTAAATAAATATAAACAAATTTTAAAAAAGAAGAAAAAAGAAATAATAAATAAAAATAAATAAATACTATATACACACATAAACATGTATTTTTATTATTAATATATAAATTATAGCTCTGTTATTCTACATTGAGCACTATTTTATTGACATCAGCAGTCAATGTGCAATATTATATATATATATATGTGTGTGTGTGTGTGTGTGTGCATGCATTTGTAGAATGTATAATAGTATCTGAAGTGTAGGTGATGTGACAAAGTAGAAAATTTATTAATGTGGTGCTTTTGACATGTCTGCTCTCTTTGGGTTCCTCAGGTTAGAATGAAAGAAAAACAAAACTGTATGTGAGGGAAAACTTGAGGAAGTTGAAGAGAGCAGATGCTTTGGCAAAATGTGGCATTAAAAAATTTTCCACTTTGTTTCATTATCTCTACACAAACACACACATATACATGCATAGATATATAACACTAGAATGCTCAAGAATTAACAATGACAGTTTATGTCTAGAAAACTGGAAGTCAAAACGGCTACAATTGAAATAAGAGAGAAAACAGAGAAAAAGAGAGAGAAGATTAAGGAAGGAGTGTAAAGTGAAAAAAATGGCTAAAAGGACAAATAACCATGACATTTTACATGTATGGGCAGATGGGTGCATGCATGTGAACATACACACACATACACTTGCACCAGTGAAAAGTGCATATAAAAAAGAAAAATTGAGAAATATAAGCAGTCAATTGCTGATAACCCCTGACAAGTGGATGGAGTGATTCTTGGAGTGCTCATCTACAAAATTCTGGAGTCAAGATGCTGAAGGTAACATCAATCAGCTAAGTGACAAACCTTTTACTTGTATTAAATCTTTCTCTCTTTCTCTCTCTCTCTCTCTCTCTCTCTATATATATATATATATATATATATATATATATATAATGCATGTAACAGCAAAATTGCCCAAATCATGTAACAGCATGTTTAATATCTAAAAAAAGCACTAAACTAATTGAGTTTATTTTTCCAGGTTTTCAGATAAGACATTTAGCCATCTTGATCCATTTGTTGTAAAAATCACAGAAAAACCCTTTGACTTATTCAGCTAGAAAGAGAACAGTTTAAGATAGTTTTGTGCCAGCCCCACTGTCTTCTCAACTGAACAATGGTGAGAGAAAAAAGATCATTCAGACCTTCAGTAATGGTACCAACATTCATACTCTGGCTTGCATGTTCAAAGTCCATTCAAGAATCATCAAGTGAATGATGAATAATTTTAAAAAAGAGTTAGAAGTAGAGAGAAAAACTCGATCAGGAAGTCACAACAAGAAGACAGATCATCATTTCAACTTAATGCTAAAGAGATCAATTAGAAAAGATCCAACTCAATCTATAAGCTGTTTGGCACATGAGAGAGGAGTTTCAGCTATGATAGTCCAAAGAGCAGCGAATAAGACTTGAAAATGAAATTGTAAGTGAAACCTGAGAGGCAAATTGTTACTCCAGGACAGAAATTAGAAGGTTAGAGAGGGCGAAGATCATCCTGAATAAGTTGGAAACTGATCCTGAAATAATATATATATATTTGAACTTTATTTCAATAATTCATGTGCTTCTGAGCCTTAGGTATGATTAATTAATGATAAACATGTCATTTTCATTTATGATTGATTTCATCACGATTCATTTGTTAAGCTTGGATAGTAATTATACATTCTTATTGCTCAAAGTAGAGTCCAATAGGGTTATAAAAACCTCAAATTCCAATAAGATATCTCTAATTATTTCTAAGATGCAACATTTCAAAACTTAATCTAACAAATAGACAATTTTGCTTTTGTACGATTTGGACAATTTTGGTGTTACACTTGGTATATATATATATATATATATATATATATATATATATATTGTCATTCACAGACAGACTGCTTTGCTGTATTACAGCTCATCAGTGTGGCTAGATGTCTGGTTGCCTCTAGATAGGATCAAAACCTGGCTGAATTGGCGTCAGTCAGAGAATCTACCCCCTAAGCCGTTGGTGCGGCAGGGATGAAGGTAAATTTAAGTGTATTCATATATATATATATATATATATATATATATATATATATATATATATATATTTTTATGGATTTTTTATCGATTTGTTATCTGATATCATTTCTATTTACTATAAACATTAGTTTTTATGGGTATACATGTTTGAGTAGGTACCCTGTTTTTATTTCCTTAAACAGTGAAATTAATATAGACTGGCCTAGATAGCAAAGGCACAATCTTTCTTTAGTAGGATTATGTTTCTTCTTTGGTACCTTGACTTTAGAAATTTAAGCGCAGTAATAGATTAACAGCAATGACTTGCCATTTTACAGTTGAAATGGCTAGATGTATTCATACATTCTATGCTAACACTTTCTTCTCTCACTTGTGAAACTCTCTTCTGGCTTCTTGCTTTCCAGTCAACATTGATCTTTAAAAATTTAAATGTAACGTTAATCATTATCTTTTGCTTTCTTAATTCCTGTTCTTTTATTGTTCTTTCTCCTTAATAATGTTCTTTTTTCTTATATTCTCTCATAGTCAGTGACCTCTTTATGTCTTAGCAGTTTTACTGCCTTGTTTGGAGAGAAATGATTATATATATAAATATGTATTTGTATATGATTGCTTACTTATATACCTATCTATATTTACGCATTTGGGTATATATATATATATATATATATATATATATATATATATATATATATATATGTGTGTGTGTGTGTGTGTGTGTAAATCAAATGGCTAAATATATGTAGGTATATGAGCAAGCAATTGTATACAAATACATATAAATACTCTATAGTGTAAGAAAAACAGTGCTTAATCTTAAGTAACAGAACTATTTAATATATATATTAAGAAATATACATAATATTATACAACTCGGAGTTGTGCAATTAATGTAAGCTATTATGCATAATGCATATTTTTTATATATATATATATATATATATATATATATATATATATATATAAACACACTACAGTTCAAAAGTTTGAGGCGATCCCTGGTTTATTTTTTAAAATGGCCCCCCAAAAGTATTGCATTAATATTTAAGCTTACCATTTAAAAGTTCAATCATAATTCTTCTGCTGCCCCTTAATGTAAAGACAATTTCATGTACATAATTCCTTATTTTCTGTACAGTTATTTTTATTGATGACTTTCACTGGATTTTGCAATTAATTTTGAGTATTTTTAAATTTATTTTCAAGTTATAAAAATTGTTATTGTACAAAAAAATTTGTTGCAAAATGTCACTTAAAAAATCACAGTAAATTTCACTACCTGGAATGTTTCCAGCCCATAATGTTTTTAATTTGCTCATGGAGTCAGCCTGATTCCAAAATGGTATATGTTGGGCTACAGCCTCTAGGAGTAAATTTGAAAAAGTATGATACACTGACATTCGCATTTATTATATAGATGGTACATTATTGTACATAATTATGTTACAATAAAATATGCATGTTATATGAATACTACCTAATGAAAATTGAGATGTAGTAGAGTTAGAGCCCCTGTATCAAAGATTCAGGGGCATATCATAGATTGAGGAGTTGGCATAAGACCTTTGCACCGGCCATGCCTTGCACTATCCTCTAACTTTACAAGAGCTAGTTCAGGCCAAAAATGGAGTACTGCTGCCATATATAGGTAGGAGCTAAGGAGCTATCCAGTCTTCACTTGCCGGTCTTGATAATGTTCAAAAGTGTCTGTGAATCCTTGTGGGTGATGAATTATTTTCCACTCTACAACCCCTTTCCCACAGATGAAACATCCCTAGCTTCTTGCTGCTCTATTGCTATTTCCGTGGAAAATATTCAGAAGAAATACATTCCTTAGTTCTCCAAGTTCTAACCTTCACAGATAAGACCTGCCATGCCATGTCCATTGTAATGAACCACCCTCATTCCCTTCATATTCCATTGGTGAGCAGCATCTTCCCATGTTGTGTCGGAAACCTACCACCCCTCTTGAAGATGAACTTGTCTGCAAGCAAAGACGTTAAATAGTGGCATGTCATAAGACAGAGACAGAGCAGTTCTTAGCTAAGCTAGTTATTGACTACTCAGGCGATTTCTGTACCTATTTACCAACCTATTAAAACCCTTTTTATTGTTACGTGTTATTTGGCGTTTGTCTCTACTAACCCCAAACCAACATCATAACATCCCACAAACTGTGGAACCAACTCCCAAGAGTATGCTTCCCCAATCACTACAGTCTTAACCTGTTCAAGTCTAGACTTAACTGTTATCTTCCCCACATATCCTCATTAACTGTGCCTTTTACTATGTAACCATCTACCTCGAGTGGCTCTTGGGCCTTGTACAGAATGAACTTTATTGTAAAAAAAAAAAGACTTGCAGTTTTTTTGTATTTTTTGTAGATTTATTTCTAAATAGGATTTTTTTCCATTAATTCCCCAAAATAATATGAGTGCAAGGAATTAATAAACTAAGATAGCTATCTTCTTGTATGAATGCAAGTAAATAAATTACTTTTTCAAAGTCTCTGTGAACACAATTTCTAAAGAATTAATACATTTATTTTTTATCTGACATTTTAATGGTTAAAAAGTAATCTATGAATATGTAATTTTTATTAATACTTAAAAATGGGCTAAAGTTATTTTTCTTTTATGTGCCTTTAAAACGTTGGCGATCATGGCTCTCCACATCTTCCTATCTTTATCAGATGTTTTCGTAAAAATAGTTTAGTTGTTTTATTGCTGAAAAATGAATGAATTTGCTGTTTCTTTTACAACTAACGTTTAGTTATAAACTGTTTTCATTTTCTTTGCTAGTTTTAAAAAATTATTTTTTTGATGGAGAGACTATCTCCTTTGTCTCCAGTGAAAATAATATTTATAATTAGTGAAAATAATTAGTTTTCTTTTTTTAATGTGTAGCAATAAATAGAAAGTAAGTAGAGATGGGTAAGTTAGATGATATATCGAATCTAAATAATGCAATAGAAATTTCTTAAAGTTGTAATGACAGGAAAATAAATAAATAAATAAATAAACCGGATGAAAAAAAAAAAAAAACATTGAAGCAGGTGCCTGAAGTATAAAACCATCTCCTCCTCCTCCCACGTGCTGCCGACTTGTCCTCCCGTCCATATATGGAAGTAAATACTGACGCCATTTTGGATTGGCTTGACACGCTGGGAATTCCTCAGGTCCCGGATGAAGAAGCCATCTTTGTCAGGACTTACTCTGTAGTAGTTTTTTTCTCTCTCTTTTGCTGACCTGGGTGGCCATTGCCGACACTTTCTTTCCTACCGAAAGTCACCATGGTGAGTTGTCTCAAGCTTTACTGGAAATATTTACTAGCCGTTCGACATTTGTCAGTGGCTTTATTAATTAACTTCTGCCCATTTTCGTTGGCTTGCTCTGACGATTCCGGGGGTGGATTTCACCGGGCTACTTTTACTTACTACTACCGCTACACAGACAAAAACACTGTCTAAATGTTTGTATTTTTGTGTATGTTGTTTGTTTTTTTTTTTTTTTTAATTTTCCCCCTGATGGTTTTAATTTAGAATATTTTTTGAGTCCTTTCGACTTGACGTTCTATAATCTGAATGTCCACTCTGTAATTATGCTCTTCGTACTTTGACTTGCCATAAGGTGGGGCTCGGTTGTAAAAAGAAAAAAAAACTCTTAAATTAACAATGCTTCTCTCGGTCAACGTAAAAAAAATAATAGGAAATAGATAAAAATTGGTCTAAATTTCATAATAAAACTGGTTTATTTGATCGTGATTGTTTAATGATCGATACAAACAAAAAAACTATTCGATGTTCGCACTGCATAAGTTTTTAAAACAAAAACCTTGAGGTCTTTCTTTGCTCATTTTTTGAAAATGAGGACTCGGTTTGCAGAATTGTTTCTTTAATTAATTAAAATTAATCACAACATCGTGGATCATTAATTACCAGCTGAGAATAAGGATGTATTTAAAAAAAAAAAAATTTTTGATTTTGTGATCGGTAATATTTAAAAAAAAAATGACGTAGATAACAGAACAGATGTTGTTTTACTTTTCTTTTGTATGTGTCTTTCCAAGTCTATATCTTTCATTTTTTTTCTTTAACTGATTTGTACCAAAGTACAACACTTATTTAATATTTATAGGTGTGTCTCTGGTGTTCTGTTTTATTTATTATTAATTTATGTAGATCTGTTACCTTTTTATTTTAGTAAAAGATTCTTTTTTTCCTTTATAACTTTATGAGCCAGCTCGGTAGACGATCTTTTTGGTCTTGTGATTCCAATAGAAAAATCTTTTTCTCTCCCTTTATTTTCTCATCAAAACATGTCTGTTTAACAAATAACTTTGGCTTTCTACAATAGATATTTAAAAAAATTAACTCCTTGTGGAATGTAAGTGCATCCTTTACAAAATCTATTAAATCTAGTACAAAGTGAAGTCCTTTTATTACCTATTCAACTTAAAAAAAAAACAAAAAAAAACAAGAAATGAATCTTGTGAAGTACTCGCTACTTTAAGACAAGTATTCGAATTGTCATTTTTTTGTTACGATTATCTAAAAGTTAATATAAAAAACTAAACATTTATTTGAAAATGAACACCACGGATAGGAAAAATAAAGACGCATCCTGACAAGAGATTTGAACTCTTATCTTTTCTCTTTGGGTGGGAGTTGCTGATATGGCAACATTGCTCTTTTTTTCCTGTTTTTAAATTGTTTTTAAAAGTTGTGTTTTTAAGTCTAAACAGCAATAAAATTACTTAATTCCAAACTTGATGCGGCCTTCTTTATGAAATTAAGCATCTCCCAAAACATGGAGCAGACTAGAGTCACAGCATGTTTTAATTTAATTGCATTGTTTTATGAATGAATATTAAGTTATTAACTAAATTCCCATATCAACTCTCACAGAACTTATTTTCTTTCGTTACGGTTAAGAATAAAAAAATATAATCTGATTATTTTTCTTTTATTCTTTCGGTTTCCTCTTCTAAAGTTCTAGGTAGATTATTCATATTTTTATTTCAGTTTATAAATTTTAAACAAATTCCTTTGCTTTTTGGTTCTTGATACAAGAATAAAGATTTATTATTAAAGATACGATAGATAGGGTAACTTGACACTAAATACTAGGTAGTTAATTGATCTTAAATTTTCATTGTATAATGTTCAAATTACGATAACTGGTTTCGTTTTTTAAGTAATAAAAGCGATTGTTGAAAAAATGTGTAATTTGTTTCCATCATGAGGCTACGGATCTCTTGATTTATTTTACATACTTTTTTATTTTGTGTGTGATGGTAGGTAATAAAATAGATCTCGTATTGTTTTAAAGTAGGAACATAAGTGTTTTCTATTTTTTTTTTTTTTATGTAGTTAGACTATAGTGTAGCTGTCGCCAATTATAATTTAGCACCGACCTATTGACATTTTGTTACTTCTTAAAAGCCTGTCATTACATTACTTTTTTAAACTTACTACAACTCTTTCTCCCTGTCGTTCATGATCATCATACTCAACAACTGTGACCACATGTCCTCTTTTACTGTCATACCTCTTTGGTTGTACGATAAAATATTTCTGTATTTTTTATGTTTAAACTCTTATCTCAGCCATCAAAACGAATTTATTTTTATCTGGCATTTATTTACTTGGGCGATTTGTTGAGCAATAATGACTTGTTCTTCTGGTTTGGTCCATGGTTCTTGATAAAAGAAAGTGTTTTCCAATAAGGCAAGCAATGTTAATCCTTTATTATTCCATCGCAGTGTGAGTGAGCCTTCTTCATCACAGCAGTACGTGCTACTGCTAAATAATAGTGTTTCTTTCTTTAACAATGTTACAATAATAATGCGTCTACATTATACCTCACACCTTGTTTTAACATTTAGTGTTCAGTCATCAGAAACTGAACCATTCTGCGGTTTTTTTTTTTTTTTTTTTTTTTTTTTTGCTAAAAATGTGCTTCCAAGTTCTGGTAATTCCAGTTTTTGTTAATGCTTAGTTTTAATTAAAAATCTCAGAACTCTATCCAATTTTGTAATTAGTTTATCCGGAGCAGAAACCTTGTGCCATACGTCATTCATGTTTGTTTACTCGTTTAATAATAATAAAAAAAAAAAGTAGCTTTTTAGTCCATGGATAATTATTTTGAAAAAAAAAAAAAAAAAATGAATTTAAAATTCGATCTGTTACTACTAAATGTCAATCAAATGGATTTAAAAAAATCTGACCTTGATTATTGATTCTATTTTTGTAAATCCAATAAATTTGACTTTCTCTGGTCATCCAGTATTTAAAAATAAAATACCGGTGTGTAGTTTTTTAATATATGATTACTACACATTAGTCGTCTCTTCCTATGTCAGTGTCGCCATATCCACATTGTGCCACTGACATCATCGTTGCATTTATTTAAACCACATATGGCCTCTGAATTTATTAATTGTATTGCGCTATTTCTGTGCTAATGTTTAATTTTTTAGTCCTTTCTGGTACTGATCTGTTTTAGTTTCTGCCATTTAGCAGCTAAAAACCCCTTCACTCTCTTCTTGATGCCAATATTAGTCTATCTCCTTGTTACTGAAGGAGTAATTGATAGAAGTTAATTTTCTACTTTCAATAACTAAAAGAAAGATGATACAAGGTTTTATTTTTAACTTTTTTCCACTTAGTATTTATTGTCTCGTAGTCTTGTATATTTTTAGTTTATTTTAAGTGTGAATGTGTTTTTTTTTCTCTTCTTTCTCAGTGTTTATTACTCTCTTTTGTGCAGGATGATTTTAAAAATGCTAATCTTTGAAAATGTATTTCTAAGCAAATGAACTTGTGTGTAGGGTTCAACAAAAAGTGTAAACAAATACTCTCAAACTGGTGTAACAGTTGCTATTATTGTGGTTGCGCAGTAGAAAATAGGTTTAGTTACTTTAGTATTTTCATTGGTACAATTTATTTCTAGTCGTTGTGGTCAGATAATTCAGCAACTGAGATAAAGGAAAATTTATCACTGTTAGTTTTTTCTTTTCATCTGTGCAATATTTTCACAAGGGTACTAATGACTTGTTTTGGATTATTTTAATTTAAAACCTTTATATTTTTTTTTGTGTGTGTGTTTTTTTTTGTATAGGATTACCATTTCGTATGTCTATTTCATCTCTTAGCTATTTTTTATTGCGAGGTAATATAGATTATTTTTTTTAATTCAGCTGCAATTCAGGAAGAATTTTTCAACACTTCGTAATATTCCATTTTTGTTCTTCACATTATTCTAAAAATGTTATCTGCCTGATCTCTTGTAATTTGCAAGTTAATTTGATTGGTTCCAACTTTTTTTTTCTTTTTCTTATAAACAATTGAGATTTTATTTTTCGGTCTATCTCCTGTTAGAATAATAAATTTATCTTTTTGCGTGTGCAAATTCACACACACACACACACACACACACACACACACACACACACCTTTTATTTACCATATATTTGTAATATTGTGTGTAGTGTACTTTAAATTTAGCATTAACCAGGCGTCACTCATCTGAGTAATTCCTCTGTAAATATCATTTTTTAATTTTTAACTCTTTTTCAACCTTTGAGAACAGGATAATGATGTGTTGGTAAGAAAGTAGCAATTCTCCATTTAAATAAAAAAAGAAGTCATTGTGATTCACAATTGCTTGCTCTGAGAGTTTTCACTCGAGCTTTGACCGATTTGTCTATGGGGCATGCACATAAACATCTTGCTGAGACGGACTTCAACGATTACAAAAAGAACATGGCTGTTAACTAAATGTTTCTTGTTTCAATAGTAAGTCTAAGTTTCAGTCAAAGTTTGCAACTAAACTGGGTCATGTCACATCATTTCCTCTTAGAATACACTTTTAATATTTGAATCGAGTGTCCACTTTGATTTATCTCCGAGGAAGAAACTACAGGGACATCTTATTAATATTTTTTTTTTTTCATCATTTTTAGTATTTTGCTATTGCAAAAAAGGATATTATCTTAGATTTCATAGGTTTTACAGAAGTTGATATCTGTTAGGTACCTCCACTAAAATTTTCGATACCGAAGGTTAATGAATTTTTAAAAATGAAAAAGCATTCTTGAAGCTTTCGTTTTTAGCTTTAATTGAAAGCTAAATTATTAAAATTTAATCATTAAAATCTACTATTTCCAGTAAGCAAAATACTCTGGTGAATTTCAAATACAAATTATATATTGATTGGAATCTCGAATTTTTGGTTGCTTATACAAAATCGGCGATTTTTAACACATTTGTAAACAAACAAAAGTTAATTCTCG